TTTTTTTATATCTCTTTTAGATAAACCTGTCTCTAAATGGCATGTAAAACCGAAACATTGTGGGCCAGACTTTGTTGATAGTCTATGATACTGTTTGATGTGTTTAAAGAGCTTTATTTTACCCTCTGCTCGCTTTAGAGATGAGAAACTGCTTCCATGTCTTTTATTTTCAAGCGTGTGTAGTATTTTGATCCGATGGCAGCTCGTTTCATTTTCTGTTTAGTGTCAGTGAATCGCTGTGGTTTGCTGGTCGAGTGAGATGTATACACTGAATGTTTTACCGTCTCACCCGACACATCATCTGAGAGAAACAGACAGACAGAGTCATGTCACATGCATGGAAATTAAACCAAGTCAGTGCTGCAGACCTAATCAGGGGTGCGTCTCCCAAAAGCAACTATAGTCACAAGTTCCATTGTTACCAATAGAGTTCAATGGAATGAACCACCATAGTTAGCTAACGATGCTTTTGGGAAATGCAACCCTGGTTAGCCGCTGTAAAAGAGAGACAGAAAACACTTGTTCAGTGCTCATGATGTCATGAAGACTTCAGACACTCCATCATGGCAGAAGATGGCAAATGCTTCTAAAGATGTACATGTTAGCTGTTTCAGACCTCTGTATTAATTATCCTGCTTCTTCTGCCATGATTACTAGCGGTTGTTTGCAGGCGTCTGCCTGGAAGGGAAGCCGTGCTCTGTAGAGTTTCATTAATAGTCCATTAGGAGCACATAAGATTGCCACCAAATGTATACAGCTGTGTTTTATGAAGAATTTTGACTTCAAAATATTAGTTATATTTAGTTTAAGAAAACTTATTGAGCTCTTTCCTAAATTTTGTCTTATTTGTTTTGATATTTAATATAGAAAATATTTTATAACATTTTTTAAATATTGATATTAAATATAGAATATAGTTTTCTCTATTTTCTTTTATTATCAATTAATTAATTTGTTTTATTAAAGTTTTTCCCTAATGCATTCAATCGTCAGTATTTGGATGCACTGCCATTTTTTCGTATTTATTTTTCTTATTTCCAATATTTTTATATTTAATATAGAGGGAATATTTATGTATTCATTCATTCATTTTTACATCTTTTTATAACATTTTCTCTAATGCATTCAATCTTCATTATCTGGATGCACAATACATGCAAATATCAATAATATATTCAAAATCATTTGCTTAAAATTTAGCATTGTACATATTTAATGTGCTTTTTAATTAACCTTTAAATTTCCTAAAATGGTTCTTTAGTTCGATTTACTTCCATCAATCAGTTCATCAGTCTGTTCACTTAAGTAAATCAATTCAAAGCTCTTGTGTTATTGATTCATTTGCATTATCAATCCAATTTTCTTGTGTTAATTTAGTGAAAAACTACATGGAAAAACTATTGTATGGACTAGATTGATATTACATGAATTCTTTTGAATATATTAAACTACATTGACTGTTTGGATGAAATATTTGAAAAAAACTTAAATATAGAGATTATGTTTATAGTCAATAGGATGAACCAATATGGATTTTAGGTACAGTGCCCAGCAGAAATCAGCTCAGAAACTGGACCAGTGAACTGAATGTCAGTGTAAGAGCTCTCAGCTAACAAGTGAAGAAAAGCACAGGATTTCAGCGTTAATTCTGAATTCTGAACATGGCGGTCTGCTGGGCACCTGTTAACAGCTTGTTGCTGTGACACTGGTATTCGCAGTAGCAGATGTTTTGTCTGAACGAATGAGGAGCGAGCGTTTGTTGGGCTCTTCTCTGGAAGGAGAGAGCGGTGCTGAAATGTCCTCCGGCGCTGAGCTGCGGTTTTGGGGAGCGGGTAAATGAGTCCCTGCAGCGCTCAAGCATGAATGGAAGCAGACGGAGGTGAGGAGACATGGAGACACATTTTAGAGGGATGTTGGCTCGTGTGTTGTTATAAATGTCAAGATGACGTCTGTAGGCGTAATTGTGCTCTTCAACCGCTGATGGCCAACATCACCCAACTGCACTATGGCAAGTACTACTATTGCTTATACTGCAAGCTAGTTACTTGAAAAAACCTGACTGATTAAAATTGGTTTTGATTATCTTTTAGTAAGATTTGTGAAAATGAATGAAAATGTGAATGAAAAGTTCCATTGACTTTCACTGCAGTTCAAAAGTTTAGGGTCGGTAAGATTTTTTTAATGTCTTTTTTTACCAAGGCTGCATTTATTTAAACAAAAACATTGTGAAAATAGTGAAATATTATTACAATTTAAAATAACTGTTCTCCATTTGAATATATTTAAAATTTTAATTTATTCCTGTGATTTTCAGCATCATTTCTCCAGTCTTCAGTGTCACATGATCCTTCAGAAATCATTATACGTTTTATTTTTCAGGATTCTTTGATGAATAGAAGTTCAAAAGAACAGCATTTATTTGAAATATAATGTTTTGTAGCATTATAAATGTCTTTGCTGTCACTTTTGATCAATTTAATGCATCCTTGCTGGGAAAAAAAACAAATATATTTAAAAAAATAAATAAATAAATGAAATAAAATAAAATTCTTACTTTTGGACGGTATTTAGTTATATTAGAAAGACTATATGCGACTATAAATTACTGAACTCTTTCAATCAGGTTTGATTCACTTTTTTTCAATCTTTTCTAAACAATCCGATTATTTTCATGATAACGTGGCTGAAAAATCCAATTGACTTAAATGTAATAATCGAATAACTATAAATGTAATTAAATGCAGGTCAGATAGTTGGAGATCTTAGTGCTGCTCTCCCTCCAAAGTGAATCAGTCTCCCCGTTCAAGGCATCTAAAGACTGAAATACCTTGTGTTTTGTGAAATAAATCTCTGGCCATGGTGTTCTAATGGGGTGTTTTTCCAGAAATAGCTCAGTTTGGTCGTGTTAAGGGCCGCTGTTGTCTTGTGTGTGATGGTGTTTGTGGATCTCTGGGTAAATCCTGCAGCAGAGGCTCAGATCAATAACGCCAGTGATGGAGACGTGTGTTCTTGTGTAGTTGTGAGCGATAGAGTGTCGTTTCTTCTGCTCTGTTCAGGCTTTGCATACAGCGATAAAACAAAATGAATGTTTTTTACAAATATATTACGAGTCAGAAAAGCGTAAGCTAATTTACTCTCTCAAGCAAACGTTTATGTATTTGCAAACTCATAATCTAATTCATATTAAAAAAATATTAACAAAATATGGTTTGCTAGTGCACAACCAAATTTCCTTTCACAAAATAAGATTTTCAAATGAAAAACAATTCATGAATTTCTAAGTAAGTTTGCACATTTCTGAATATTTGTACTTGTATGACCTGATTGTTGAATTGTTGTCACTATATATGCATATTTGCAGACTTTTCTGTGAGACACAGATTTACAAGTTTGTGTTTTTTAAGCATTCTCTTTAGCCAATCAGATGCGAGTTAAAATAAATAGAAATGAACATTTGTTTGTGAATGTGAAGTAGCCTACACATTTGGGAATCGATTTTTCAAAATATACACTTTAATATACAAAATATACATTTTTTGAGGCTCTTTTAGCTCCAGACTTGTGTGCTGAATGAAAGATTTGTGTGTGAGCGCTCTGAATCTACAGGAATGCTTGTTATTAATATGTGTGGCACTGAAATGAGAGAGATGAAAGAGTAAAGAGAAAATGGATATTAATAACAAACTCCCCTTCATCTGTTCATTCTCATGATCATATATTCTTACCTACTCCATACAGACTGAAGAAATAGTTCACAGGCAGTGACAATTTTGTCTGTTTACTCGCCCTTGTGTTGCTTCATGCTGTTATTTTTTATCTTCATGCGTGCATTTTATTTTTTTCTGTACTACAGTGTTCTTTTCTAATATGAGTTGTTCCAGGAACAGATTAACATTTGAGTCATTATTTGCTCATAAACTCTCTTTAGAGACTTTCACTTTTAACTTTCATATTTTTTCATAGTTTTGTTTTGTTCAGCAGTGTTTCTCACTGTTAAATGGATAGTTCACCCAAAAATGTAAATTTGCTGAAATAGTACTCAGCCTCAGGCCATCCAAGATGTAGATGAGTTTGTTTCTTCGTCAGATTTGGAGAAATGTAGCATTGCTTCACTTGCTCAGCAGTGGATGCTCTGCAGTGAATGGGTGCCGTCAGAATGAGAGTCCAAACAGCTGATAAAAACATCACAATAATCCACAGCACTCCAGTCCATCAGTTAACGTCTTATGAAGTGAAAAGCTGCATCTTTTTAGGAAACATATCCATCGTTAAGATGTTTTTAACTTTAAGCAGCTGCTTCTAACCAAAATACGAGTCCTCTATCCATAATATTTCTTTCTCCAGTGAAAAATTTATCTTTTCTGAATCAGGAGAGAACTCTGCACAAATCAAGCACCGTTTACAAGATAAAACAGCTCTAAACAAATATGTGGCTGGATTTTGAAGAGAGAGCCAACAGGAGATGGACTGTTTCACTGGAGGAAGCCTTATTATGGATTATGGAGTGGTATTTTGACCAGAACATAGTTTAAAGTTAAAACGCCTTAATGATGGATTGGTTGTTGTTACCGGATTCGATTCTCATTCATTGGAATTGTATTGCAAATTGTGATATAGAATGTGATTTTTATTTGTCAGGAAATGACTGGATTGTAAACAGTGTATCAGATTGGAGAGGGGGAGGGGTTAAAAATGTGAGGCATTTGTGGTGTCAACAAAGGAGAGTTGTTTCAGAGGTGGAGCAAATGGATTCTTTTTTCCTGTAGAATAAGATGCAGAATTTACAATAAGACCAGGAACATGAATTAAGAAAGTAAACCGAGTCAGTTTAAGTTCTGAATCATGACATTCCTTGTGAATTCCATTGTGTGCCTGTTCCAGAGAATGGCAGTACGTTGCAGTCGCTGGCGTGTTATCTGCACAGATCCTGTAAGGTCTGTCTCTCTCATTCTTCCGTCTCTCTCTCTCTCTCTCTCTCTCTCTCTCTCTGTGTGTTTCAGAGCTGGCCGGTCCAGGCCCCTCCCCCGCCACTCAGGAGTTGATGACACGCTTGGGGTTCTTGCTGGGCGAAGGCATCCCGGGCTCCTCGCGCATACCTATGGACGACAAGAATGAAAAAAAGGTATTTTCCGCAGCCGCTGCCAGAGTGAGAGAGCGAGACGGTGAGACGGACGTGAGAAAACCGCAAGGATTAAAGCCGCTTGTTTGCCGTCTGTCAGTGTGAGACGCGATGAGGAGTGTGTCTGTGTGCCACCACAGTAAGTCATTCCCGTTCGCTCTGAGCCGCTGCAGAGCCGGCGAGCAGAAACTTGAGTCGTGTTAACTTGAGGTCTGCTCCAGAAGTAGTTTTGTTCTGTCAGGGTTTCGGATGATGAGATAATTAGGCTGAGGCTGTGGTCCGAACGCCCTTCATGTGCAATGCTTTTGTTTAATAAATCATAATGGCTCGTCGCTCTGAAGGCGTGTGGGAATTGCGTGAAGAGGGAAGCAACAATGTGTCTCTTTGAGAGTTGGTAATGATCTGCGTCGTGTGTTCTTAGACGATGCCGTCCAGCGGGATTCGGTGAGCGTCTTTATTCTGTTTCATCAGGCTGTCGTCTGGAAGTTTGTTTTAAAGGAACTTTCATCAGGTTTTGTGACCTTGACTGACTCACGTTCCTGCGATGACTCAGAGGGGCTGCTGGTGTTTGGGGTCTGAGCGAGAAGGACGTAAACAGTCTGCCTCATTCAGGCTTTTCAACAGTCAGTAACTTGACATTAGTGCATTTCTTTTTGTCTGGATCTATTATGTTAATCAAAAATATGCTCAGAAATAAATTAATCCAGACAGTGAAATGAAAGCACCTCTTCTATGATGAACGTTTTCAAAGTCTGAATTGAAATGATTTATGATATTTTGGGGGGTTGTTAATGTCAAAAATGTCGACGTGTGAGTGTCAAAAAATATTTAAAAGCTGAAATAATAAAGCAAGTAAATAATAATAATATTAAAGAGAGGAATAATTTTATATTTAAATATGTATGTATTATTATTACTATTATTATTACTATAACATTGAAATAGTTTTATATTTAAATATTAAAATTTAAATATTAATGTGGTGCCATCAACATCCAGGAAGACATTTTGTTGTCATGTGACAAAAAATATTGATATTTTTGTGGGGTTTAAAGTAAATAATGTCTAGTTGGTATTTTTTTATTTCATCTGGAGATTGTAATAAAGAAAAAATAATTCGCATTTTTAAAAAAAGCATCTGGAATTAAAAAAAATATATTTTTTGTTGTTGTATTAATTGCAATAATAATTATTAATTGTATATTAATTATATTATTATAAATAATAATAATGAAGTACTTTTAATAATGCAGAAAGTCATTTTGTTGTCATGTGACAATAAAACCTTAAAAGGGGATATGGCATTGAGAACTACTCATGAGTATATGTCAAGACAATATAATTTCAACATTTGAAAGCTGAAATATTTTGGCATAATATTCAATAATAATAATTATAATAGTAATACAAATAAATTAATAACACTATATATTAATCATTAATTATTCATTCATAATTATAATCATTTTTAAATAATATTTTATATTTTAATATAATTACTAACAATAAAGCCGTTTTTATATGTTAATATATAATAGGGATGGGCATTCCCAGCAAAAATAATATTCGAAAATCACTGGGTATTATTCGATTATTATTGGAAAACCGCACCCCTCCCCCACATGCACGCACAAACACCCATAAACGGAGAGAGAGACAGGATTCACGCTTTCAATCTGTATGATAAACTGTTTAATTCAGAAGATAGGCTACCTTAACTCAAGCCATTCAATGATTATAACGTGCTGAAACATATTAATATTATAAACATAACCGAATGACGGCACTTATTAACATAACAGTCCATCGATTAGCATAAATCAACTGCTCATAAGGCTAGGACATTTACATTTCAGAAAATGGAACCCCTAAAGGTAATAGATATGAGATGGGAGGAAAAATATAATTCAATATCTTATATCGTTGGGTAATTATACTGTATATAAACTGCGGGCATCAATATGCGGGGCATTGAAATCGCTTATGAACTTGTTTTTTACTTTCACTTTCGAGATTCGCGATCACAAACTGAGCAGATTAATAATTATTATTATTTACTTATTATGAAGGATTTTATATTTAAATATGAATATTCAAATATATAGTATAAATAAAAAAATATATAATTTGCATAAATACAACAAAGCCTGTTTTTATAATCTAATTTTAATTGTCGATTAGCATAAATCAACTGCTCATAAGGCTAGGACATTTACATTTCAGAAAATGGAACCCCTAAAGGTAATAGATATGAGATGGGAGGAAAAATATAATTCAACATCTTATATCGTTGGGTAATTATACTGTATATAAACTGCGGGCATCAATATGCGGGGCATTGAAATCGCTTATGAACTTGTTTTTTACTTTCACTTTCGAGATTCGCGATCACAAACTGAGCAGCACTCGGCAGAACTTACTTGTACTGTAGCTGTAAGCACTGTAAACCCTTGTGACTGTGCATCATGTCAGTACGTTTATTGAGATTTTGAATATAGATGCTAATAGGTGGTTTTTCTCCAGGTATTTTGGTTGAAGTTCTGGATTGAGTCCTTGGATGAGGTTCTGGTGACATGTCAGGGATTTGTGCTTCATCAGCTGTTTATTTCTGCTGGTTGGTTTTATTTGGTTGAAGAGAAACATCAGACTCTGAGATTGATTTAGCTGTTGTGCGTTAAACTCAACATTGGCGTTATAATCCTTCTCTCTTCTCTCTTCTACCCCTCCATATACTGTAACACATATAACAGTGTTTGCATTATTACTGTTAAAGCAGCCTCCATTAACATCAGCGTGTCTCTCTGTTATCTCTGCAGTGTCCAGTGAATCAGGGAATCAGTCCGTGTTCCACTCTGACCAGCAGCACGGCGTCTCCGTGTACAGACAGCCCCTGCTCCACCTTAAACAGTAACAGCGGCCAGCCGGCCTGTGGAGCCATCACCAGCCCCAGCTCCACCCTCGAGAGCAAAGACAGCGGCATCATCGGTGAGAAACACACACAACACAACACCTCAAAATCCTCATTAGCATAAAGTGAAAGAATGACCATCATACAGTCTGGACCAGAAAACTGAAACTAAAACCATAAAAAGGTTTCCATTTCTTGACAAAATAAACTTTTTTTTTTCAAACTGAAAAATAAAAAATAAACTTTTTTAAAAATTTCAGCTAGTTGCCTAGGCAACATTTCTCATTTTAATTTAGTTTAACTTTAAAATAACTAAAACTAAAACTGAAATAAAAATGTATAAAAACTATGTCGACATATACAAAGACTATTAAAAATGGAACACTCAATAAAAGTACCAAAACTGTAACTAAAATTCAAATGAAAATAGAACATATAAAAATAAAAACAGTTTCAAAATATGAATACAAATTATAATAGTCTTTCAGTGATACTAAAATAACACTGGTTAGTACACGATATTTGATTAATATTTTTTTTAATAAAATCAACATAATTTAGTCCAAAAATAATGCCGTTATACGTATACTTACAATTTTATTCTACAAATTAAATAATTTTTAAATAAACAATTAATATATAAGAAATAAATCTATATATTAAATATATATCTAAATTTTTCCACTGCAACAATGAAAATGAGAATTATAGGCTGGTAGCCCTAGTTTCTGAGAAAATTCAACTTCCTTTCAGTTCGGTGAATGTTCTTGGAAGTCCTCCCATCATTCAAAATCAAATTATGTAATAAAGAAAAAAGTAATAATTCAAAAAAAAATTATTAATAATAATTATTATTTACTTATTATGAAGCATTTTATATTTAAATATGAATATTCAAATATATAGTATAAATAAAAAAATTATAATTTGCATAAATACAACAAAGCCTGTTTTTATAATCTAATTTTAATTGTTATAAGGTAACTTTTTTTATTTTTTTTTTTGGAAGTAGAAATGTAAGTATGCATCATGGTAGTATTTGTTTTTACTACTTTTAATTAATAAAAAAAAATAATAAAAAAAAAGTGTCCAGACTGATTTAGATTTTATTAGATTGTGATATTAAATGAATGGGAATGAGATTTTTACACATTATGGTAATTAGAATTTGTGGGGAAAATATGTTTATACTTTTGATTTTCGGGTAACATATGACCTGATCATTTCTGTGTCACCCAATAACTGAAAATCTACCACACCAGTTTTGCATCTTCATCACCCCATTAAAAGCCCATCCCATCATCCTCTGCTCCACAAGCTCTGCTTCATCTTGTGGCGATTGAGAGCTGAAATCACAGCTCATGTTGGCCTGCAGATCCAAACGTGGGGTGTTTCGCAGGATGAGGTGTTGATGCAGCTTGGCCGCTTCAGAAAGTCGGTTTTGAGCTCCACTCTTCAACATTTCTCTATGAATTATGCAGCATTACAGGCTGGCAGTCCTAGTTTCTGTCCGTCAGATCACTGAACAAACACACGTGCATGAATTCACACTTTTGCTTTTTCTCTATTAATTCAGCTGTTCAGTTTTGTACTTTGTTGGTGTGTTTTGTCTGTTCATGTTTTGTTTATTTTTTAAATTGTAAGAAAAGAGAAAGGCTGAGTTATTAGCAGCGATAGCAAACACTGATCCACATAGACATCCATCCTGATGTAAAGTAAACTGCGTATTTGTAATGGGCAGTTTGTACTGAGGTGGTTGCTCATTAGCAGCATGCAGCATGTGGCGGGAAACGCGATCAGGTGAAAGTGTTGATAAGGTCAGTGACTCATCAGTTTATGAGTGGTAATGATGCTCATCTGAGATTGACTTGAGCTCTCATCTGTGTCACGTCTTTTTCTGACGTTTTTCGTTTACACGCTCTCCTGTTAGCCAGTCGTCATCTCTGATTCTTTAAGGGAATGTGGAAAAGATTTTCACTTTTATTATTTGTAGGTCTCCTCCAATGCTGCAGATTAGCACTGGCACTATATGAAGATTCTTGATTCAATTCTTTTTTTTTATTTTTTTTATTATCATTATTTAATTATGACTGACTGGCATTACAAGACATATCTATACACTCTATTAAATATTATTATAGTTGTTATTAATATTTTAAATTTTTAAAAAATATTTTCTTTTAGTAGTTTTTTTGTTTTTTTTATTTTTAATGCATATTTAAGTATGTGTATATAATTTATTAATTTTCAGTTCAGTTTTTAATTAGTACATAAACTAAAGTTAAACTAGCTGCAATACAATTAAAAGTAACATAACGGTCTATGTAATTTTTATTAGCTTTAATTTCAGTTTGTTATTTTAGTACATAGTCTAAAGTTAAACTACATGAGAAACTACCCATCCTTAGTGCACACACACACTGTGAACACACACCCGGAGCAGTGGGCATTTTATGCTGCGGCGCCCTGGGAGCAGTTGGGGGTTTGGTGCCTTGATCAAGGGCACCTCAGTCGTGGTATTGAAGGTGGGAGAGAGTGCTGTACGTTCACTCCCCCCACCCACAATCCCTTTGGGTTACGAGTCCGACTCTCTAACCATTAGGCCACGACTTCCCCATATATATATATATATTTTTATATTTATAGTGTGGACTAGAATAAATCCAAACCAGAGAGTAGATGTTGTATCTCAAACTAATCAAGATGGTGAACAACTTATTAAGAGTTGTTTGTTGTCTGTAATGTAGTCTGTACTTGTGATTTGAATTGAATAGAATCAGTTTAAATGAATGAATCAGAATCATGTGTGCACACAGTGTCAGTAATTCAGTTTCCTCTCGTCCAGCCACCATCACCAGCTCTTCAGAGAATGACGACCGCAGCGGCTCCAGTCTGGAGTGGGGTAAAGAGGGCAGCATAAGGAGCTGCGCTCAGCATGTGCGGCCAGACACGTGCTCTCCGGTGGCCGAGGAGGAAGCGTCAACATCTGGGACTGGTGTACGGAGCATCTCCACGGCTAAGAAGACTTCAGGAGCCGTAGGGTCCGAGGGCCCCGTCCAGTATCCTACGCAGAACACGTCTAGTCTGATGATGCCTCGGCCGAACTCAGTTGCAGGTAAGAGAAATCCGTGAGAGCAGCAGAGCACAAAGCATCAGGGTCGTCCTGTGATTCCTGAGGCGATGACTGACGCGTGACTGCTGGAATGAAGCCGAGCAGAGACTCATGGGAAGACATTGCCACCAGTTTAAGAGTGTGTGTGTTGTAGATTGTGAGAGAGCTCATTATCAGGAGGCACATTCTTTCTCCTGTTGCTCCTTGAGGAAGCAGATACGTCGGGCAGCTGTTGCGTGTGCGTGTGTGTGTGTGTGTTGTTGGCCGGCTTCTGTCTTTAGCATCAGTTCCACATTCCTCAGGCTGGTCCGACTGATCACGTGATCTTTCCCGCTTCTCTGTCAGTTGGGTGAATCTCACAAAAACACGTTGTATTTCACACTGAACTCAAGAGAAAGAAATAAGACATTTTGAGCACTAAGATTTTGGATTGTGGCATTATTTTTATTAAACACAATCAAACACATTTTTCACAAAATTTGCATTACTGTAATGCTAAAAATCTAATTTCCATTGCTGTAATTTGATGATATATTTTTTACAATTTTATATTTCACGGTAGTATTTGTTGTACTGCCTTTAAAGTCAACATGATAAATCATTGGAAAATTATAATACTGACATTTAAAAAATATATATTTTATTTCTAACAGTTTTTATAAAACACAAACAAAACAAAATCCCACGAACTGTATACAAAAAGTATGCTATACATGAACTAACCACACAAAAGAAAATACAAAAAACCCCACCAAAACACCAGATGCACAAGAAAGTCAAACAAAATATTAAAAATGGAATAAAATAATAATTAGGATCTGGCTAATTCGGTTCTTCAAACGCAGCTGTTGTTGATGATTAGTATGGCTGGATTGAGTTATCTGAGATAATTGTGCGTTCATGGGTTGGATTAAAAGGGGCTATGTATCGATACTCAAAACCACGATCAGCAATGCAGTGATTGGCTGGCGGCAAGACAGCAACGTAATGACATCATATAATTAAAACATTTTTTGGGACTTTTGTAAGGAAACAGCCAAGCGATCAAAACTACATAAATGTTATAATAGATAAATGAAATGTGCACTCTTTTTATTTTATTTAAATTTTTTACATGGTTCCCAATTATTTATATTCTCGATTTCTAATATTTGTACAGGCTTTACATTTTTAATTCAATTAACAATTCATTTAATTTTATATTTGAACAGATTTGTTACGTGACAGCATTAATTAAAGTTTCTTAAGGGATAAGATCATGTTATCTGCATCTCCTGCGCTCCATCAAGCCACTCCCATAATATCTGTCACCACACAAATTAATACACGACTCTACATTATCTGTATAGCATGTGTGTAAGACTCGAATACAGTTATGAAGTAATAATTTTATGACGAATAAATCTCTCAGTGAGTAAAACTGGCTGTGTCTATAGTATTAAAGACTACACAACATTATTATATTATCTTTAAATTAATTTTTAAATGATTATTATTTTAAATGATTGTCCCTGGATTAGTAGGGTACACTTGTAATAAAGTCGCGGTGGTAGCGGACAGATTTTAAGTATCAATTCTGCTTAAAAAGATGCAATCTAATCCTGCTTACATGAAATAAGCCTGCGCCCGAGCAGGTTTAAGCTTATGGACCTGTTGCTATGACAGCAACTCCGGGATGAGCTTCGAAGAACAACCAATCCAAGATCATGCCAAATCATCAACAATCAAATCCAGCTAACGGAGTTAGCGACGTACGAAGAACGGGCCCCTGGACTGATATCTTCTCCAAAAACATTTGAGTACCACCGTAAAAAAATATTCTTCCAAAACTCAGAAATCTCAAGGCAAAACCAAAAAATATGAGCATGCATCCTATCTGAGCACTTGCATCGATCACATAATAGAGAAACTGAAGGGTAAATCTGATTGAGTTTAGTTTTGGTATAGTGTAACCTATGCAGCACTTTAAACTCTATAAGTTGAAATCTTATGAAAGCATTAATAGACCAGGTATGAATTAGTTTCAGTCCTTCCTCCCAAATCTCTTTTGAAATATTAATTCCAGTGTGATTTTCCCATGCTACTTTAAGGTAATCAGAAGACACTGCAAAATGCGAGACAAACAAAGCAACAAACTGTGTCACCAAATGTTTGGTCATAGGAATAATACTGAAATATTGAATAAATTGATTATTTTATTCAAACAACAAAAAATGGTTGCATATTGTTATGTTTTATTTGCATTTATTTATTAAGTACATATAAAGTATAAATATTATGAAATATTATGAAGAAACTTTTTTGTGCATCGATGAATTAATGTTCACCAATGAATAATGCACAGTAAGACTTATTAAAGTGAATAAGATCTGTTAGGCATATTAGATGCATTTTAATACATACAACATTTTTTAAATTCTATTGAATTTTATTTAAATGCTTGTTAATTGTAGGCAATATTTCTGTATTTATAGTGCATTATAGTAATAAGAAGTTTGTCCTGAAAATAATGCTCACAAATTTATATATATATAAATATATATATATATATATATATATATATTTGTATCTATTATTATTATTATTCATTTTATTTTTAAGTGAAATGTGACCTTGAAATGTTGTTGATGGGTTTCATGATCATGACATGATTTTATTTGGTGTTTGGATAAATATGAGGCTTGCATTTCTCTCAGAACCTGGTTTTTGTGATGAAGGCTGATGTTTTGAAGTCTGCAGAAGCTGTTGAGGTGTTTGTGAGAGAGAGAGAGAGAGTTGGATGTGTGTGTTTGGTTTTGGTTTATTGTGGTGTGAGAGTATATTGTGTAAGGTAAGGTGCAGAAACACTTCTCATAAAAAGCCGTCAGTCATTAAACTAAGCGAGTCGACGTGAAACAATAAAAACCGGTTGGCACCATAAAGCATCTGCAGTTGTCAAGGTTAGAGTATGCTTTCTTTAGTGTGTGTGTGTGTTCACATTTTCATTTTGTACTCCTGCTTGCTTTTTCTCATGTCACACCCTGCTTGGCCTCGGTGAATAAAGCATTAATCTTTACTGAGCGTTTGATAGATCTGTAACTTCACTGCATTCACAGCTGCCAACGTCGTGTTACCACACACACTCACAAAATACAGCTACAGATGGGAACAGGAATTTTATGATTCTGGTTCCAATTTATATTCTGCTTAACCGTGGCTTGTGTACTGCAAACACATACCAGCTTTATCACTGTGTCTGTCACGCGACTCTGTTCCCCTTTCGGGCTTGAACTGATGGTAAAACTAATGACATTATTTACTGTCTTTACATTTATTTTGAAAGATGAAGCTCGTGATTATGGTAAGGGGCATTACATTTCCGACGAGTGCTTGCGGTGTTCGGCCAATCACAATGCACTGGGTCAGCTGGCCAATCAGAGCAGACTGCGCTTGTCGGAAGGAGGGACTTTGTAGAAAACTAAGTGTTTGAGAGAGGCGGGGCATAGAGGACCTACAATAATGTACAGTATTTGAAAAATGATTAAAGCATGTCAACATATTCTGTTACACCAAATACACAAAATAATGATCTTTAAAAAAAGCATCATATGACCCCTTTAAGACCTGCACGCATCCGTTTTTCTCTCAACTGTTTACTTTCATTTTAGACATAACCAACTGAGTCTATATGTAAATCATGTGTGTTTTGACAGTATTAGTGCAAAAGATAACTTAGTCCAGTAATCAGGCGCTGTTAGACAGGCTTTTTAGTGTGCACGCTTCATGTGCATGCGCTCAGAAAAAGCGTGCGAATGAAACATTTAACCGGCAAGGCTTTAAAGCACATGCAAAGAATATACTTTTGTGATTGCGAATAAGTGCAGTGTCCAGTGAGAGTAACTCTATCTCCGAGTTAAAATTAGATGTGAATGTATGTGGCATTGTACAGTATATTGAGATGGAGGCGCCAGTACTGCAACTGACAGAATGTGCACTGTAGCGCGATACTACGATATTTCTTCAAAAGCAGATCATGGAGACATTACTATCGTCCACGATCAAAAATCGTCATATCGCACACCCCTAACTGAAAGATATTCTTGAATGTCTGCATTCTTGCATAGACAGAATGGCATATTACAATACTGTGACCGTGTTTACTGCAGCACTGAATCTGCAATGAATCAATGCTAAGTGCCGTTTGAATCGATCTAATGATTGATTCACTGACTGAATCTTTCAGAGTGGTTCTTCACTCATTAAAAAAATGAACCAAAAATTGTTATGTTGTTTAAACGTAAGATTTAAATCAAAATGCAAACTGACAGGTTGTCCATATGACAACGTGTAGTTAAAGATATACATTCAGAAGAGCGCTCTGATGGTAAAAATAAAATTAATAAAATTACATTCAAATAAAATAAACCTTTCTTATTTTTGAGTTTAAAATAATAAAAAAGGATAAATAAATAATTCTCCAAATTAATAAAAAAAAATGTAAAAAATTAAATTACATAAATTATTATTATTATATATAAAAAATAATCATTAATGCAGCCATTACAGTATTAGAATCATTAAGACCGCTGACTCCACTGTGATGTGACCCTCTCTCTCTCTCTCT